AACATTATATCGTAATATATTTTAACGTTATTTTGTTTAAAAACTATCTATTATAATAAATCATCTATTTATTGCTATATTATCATATACATAGAATATAAACAAATAAATCGATCATCAAATATCGTCAAACATACATTGTCTTTGACAAAGCAGAAAGTTCATTGTTTCTCTTAGATTAGGATAGAAGAACGATTACTTTGTTAATTAACTAAAGGTAATTAATTTTCTCTGCAGAGCTATGCGACGGAGCTTATTATGGAAAGCTGATTGGCAAGCTGTCCGAACTTCACCATGGCGTCAGTGGCGAAGTTTATGCCGTAGACGGAAGGACCCTCTTCATCAAGGACTTTACCTATGACGGAGAAGGACCAGGTTCGTATCATCGATCCTACCTCTTACGCATTATTATAGAACGTTTACTATACGACAGATAACGCATTTCCTTTAAATCTAATCAATTTCGAAATCGAATACGTTGTTATCGAATATAACATGATTTTAAATTAATTTCGATCGTTATAATTGTCACTATTCTAAGCTGCTTCGATTCAATTTAATCCTACGTTTCGAATAAAAATAATTCTTAATTAACGTACCGTAAATAATCGATCGCTATCGATCGTTATCGATATTTTATAAATCTTTCCCGAGATGCAAACAACTAATCAACGTTTACTCGACGATTTCGTTCTTACTCATTCATCCAGTTTCCATTTATTCGTGGTCTTTTAATTTGTATCTATAACAAGGAAACTAATTAATTAATGTACGAAATAAATCGAAATAAAAAATATAAACGATCGATTCGATAGAAATCATTGTTCAAAAAAATCACTATAGACATACGTGTAAATAACTTTCACAAAATTATCGTAAATAGAAATGAGAAACGAATATTCGAATGGAATATCCTCGCCTTGAAAGTGATCTGTCCGATCGAAAAAGCGGATGCTACCAGAAAAATGGAGAGACTTTCCCCGCTTAAGCTAATCGATTTCTTCTTTCGTAAAACTTTCCCAAAACGACAAAATCAACATAACCGATGAAGTCGACGATCATTCGTTATGTAGATATTATTTTCATAAATTTATAAAATATAATAAACGTAATTTTTCAATGAAATATGCTTTATATAGTTATCAGAGCTTTTCAATTTTTTCTCGTGCTTTTAGGTAAAATCGTTTGTTACAAAATCGAAACCTTATCAGAGCACGTTTTCATTAGATAAAATAATCGGATTTTCTTGAAGAAAAAGTAAAAGATAAATTTGAGCTTGTCTTTAATCTCTGTCGAACAGTGAAATCGACTTCCTCTTTGACAGAAAGTAAAATAAAAGCGAAATGAGAACGTGAATACTCTCACTCGTCTCGGGTAACTTATAAAATTAAACACAGCACGTAATGTATCCTTGCGAAACTGTTGGCATCGACTACTAGCGCCAATCGACGACGAGTGATAACTAATAAATAAGAATATAAATAAGGAAGACGATTAATAATTGATAGAGAGGAAACGGATCGATAAACTTTTAAAACATTACCACATTCTTTTTTTCTAGCTGCATTCTTCTATGCCGGAAATACCAAGAGCCCCAATTCTAATGGGTTTAGAGTGCGAGACGAACGTGGAACGTAAGTTAAATAAATAAATATAAATAGAGAAAGTATTATTCAAATATGTATTCATTCACATACCAAACCTACGTTGTTTCTTTTTTTTTTTTCTTAATCTTATTATTTAATTTTTACGACAGGGCAAGCGTGTTAAAACGATATCGGAGAAAGGACATCACATTGACCTTGCCTGATGGTAAGACCCTGAATAGCATCAAATGGTTCTCAGTTTGGTGCGACGAATTTGCTGTAAGTAATGAATTTCTTGATATCTTTCTCTTTTTCTCTCTTTTTCTCTCTTTCACGTTCGTGACCTTCAACATCGTCTACAGTACTTGCATTACCGTCATGAAAACTGGTATCACCTTCTCTCGATACAACTTTCACGTTACATATGTATTTACACACCCACACACACACATACGCACGCACACACATATGTCGTTTGTATGAAATAGAACATTTCTCTATTTTTCTCTATTCCAGTTATAGCAATTTGATAGTAATATTTAGAGCACAGCAAATGTAAAAGAGATGAAAAAATATGGAATAATTTAAGATTTTTTGCACTATAATGTACATGATACTCTCACGTTAAAAGTGTAAAAAAATGGTTCCTTCGACTCGATCTCGACTCGCACGAGTTGCATAATTAACAGCCCGTAAATCGACATAGCTAAAGTGAAAGAGAACAAGCTTTCTCGACCGTGACTTAGATTCCGTTTTTCTTCATCATCTCTTTTTTCTTCTTCTTTCTCTTCTTCTTTTTCCTTCTTCTTCTTCTTTCATCTCTTCTCTTTTTTCCTATCTCCTATTTTTTCTCTCTTCATTTTTTTTTTTTTTTAGTTGCACCTCTTCTCGTGCGTCAACGTGACAGAAAGTGCATTTTGTACGTGCGACCCGCACTATTCTATTATATCGAAAAAATTGAATTAGCGTCGGTGGTCACAAGGACGAAAAAGCTCGAGCTGGAAGCTCGAAATTTGATTACTTCCTTTTTTCTTCATTCTTTCTCTCTCTCTCTCTCTCTCTCCCTCTCTCTCTCCCTCTCTCTCTCCCTCTTTCTCTCCCTCTCTTTCTTTCTTTTTCTCTCTTGCATTTTTCTCATTTATTCGTGTTTAACGGATCTCAGTACTCGATTCACGAAAGACAAATTCGTTAATTCAAACGACAATTCTAAAGACTTTGAAGGGAAACAGTGCAGCTCACAAAATATCGATTTATGTACTTGGCATTACACGCACAACCATAAATTTATTCCGAATAGAACAGACGAGATGTCCATCGTAAATGCATACGTCTATGTATGTGTGTTTATACGCATGTGTATACATGGATAGCCAAGCGTATAACTCGAGCCAAACGATAAGCTCAATGGTGACAGAACGGGAACGAAGTTCTTGAATTACCATCTCGATTTACACGATATTATTTCGCATAGAAGCTCATGAATTTTCTTCAAACGCGTGTCTATTATGACGTTAATTGAGTTAAAATACGAATTTTAATCTTCTCTCTTACTTTTCTTCTTTCTCTTTTTATTTTCATTGCCTCTAAAATTCAAATGTTTCTTCTCAAAATCAAATTATTTGTTAATCCTTTAATGGATGATGTTCTTTTTAAAAGTTTTTAGAAAAATATATTATACATATTAAGGGACAATAACAATGATTTTATAGTATTACAATTACTAATTATTAATTACTTAACATTATCATGATATCATGACTATCAAATGTTATATGGCACATTGAATTAAATGAAATTTATTAATATATTGTAATTTTGCAATTATGTGCGTTTGAAAGGTTAATTGTATTCCTCATTTGCATCTTTTCCTTGGAAATCCAACATTACCGATATTTTCCCGACACGAAGGTCACTCGGTAATACGTGATTCTTTCCAATTAGAGCATATCTTTGGCTTTTCTCCGAAGAAAAGAGAAAATAATCTCTCCAACGAACAATACTTTTTAGGTCAACTTCGGAGACGTAAGGATCCCACGAGGTTTCGACTATCCAAAACCACAGAAATTGGCTGCTCTCAACGGAGTTCACGGAGTCAGTTCAGAGCCCATCGTTATCGTAGATGCTCAGACTCTTCTGATACCAGGATTCAGTTACGACGGAGAGGCACCTGGTAAGCTCACTCATCCCTTCCTTCTTCGTTAGTACAATAGAGTATAAAACTCTACGACGAGGTCATCAATAAAAAGTCGAAACTTTCGACCGTTTTCGATACAGCTCAGCGCATTTTATCGACCGAGTAATTTAATTTCATACTTTTGAGATAGCCCGAGAAACTTTTCAAGCAGAGAAAGGTGTAGAAGTGTACATTAATCAAGATAATAATGCTATATGAGAACATTTTTCAGCTGCCTCTTCTTTTTTTCTCCGTCGTTGAGACGTAAAGCAATGAAAATTTGGCAATTTCGATCAATCATTAATTCCTAGTTCTGATAACTTGTAATGTCCTTGTTCAGAAAGAATCAGAAACGTATGAAAAATATATGACAATTTGCTAATAAAATATATAACTTCTATTTTCTTTAAATTACTCATGATCACTTTAACATAGGTGAATCTTTAGTGATCATGCTATTTATTTTATTAGACATAAAATAACGATATTTTACATGATTTAAATTTGATTTAAATTTTATTAAGAATTTTGAAGAATATTATTAATTCTGCAACTTTTTTAATTTCATTTAAATTATTCCAACATTCTTTGTTGGATCGAATATTAAGTTTTAATTTTATATCATTTAATATAGAATTTTATCGACATTTTATCAAGAGATATTTAATAGAAATTGCCTCGTTACAATGTAAGCATAATTTAATTGAATATTTGGTATGTCTTATGAATGACCTAATGAGAATATATTAAACTTTCTCTTTTGATTTGGTTAAAAAATTTTCTTCAAATATTACTTTTTATTCTGCATAATTTAATTCTATTCATCAAAATACAAAAAGATCAAATTACAATTAGTAATATTGTCATTTTCTTTTGTCAACATGATGTTGAGTTTCTTTTTACACTGTCGAAGGTTAAAACTTATTACAATTATTGTTACAATATATGTGGAAAAAAAATGGAATAAAACTTTTTCAATATAATTTAGATGCAAAATTCTGGGTGGGTGCCGGACCATCACCATCACCTCAAGGAATTCGAGTCCCTGATGAAAATGGAAAAGAACAGCCTTTACGACGTTATGATCGCAAAACCATTGTCTTAACCTTACCTGGAGATCTGACAGTCCATCAAATTGGCCACTTTGGCGTATGGTGTGAAGCCTTCACCGTAGACTTCGGACACATACAAATTCCACAGGGTCTCAACGTTCCACCTTCTCTTAAGATGCTCGGAGTATC